GGAGTTCAGCAAGGGTGTTCAAATCACTACGAAACGACCCAAGATGGGGGAGGGGGAAACTCAAAAACGCCGATGTGAAAAGGACATCGAAGAGCTCTGAAACAACTCAAAGGTTGGTCGCGAGCTGTTGCCAATATGAAGCGCTCGCGAGTGGGGAGTTGGATGCTCTTCCGACGAGGGCAGCATTAGAGCGGATAGTCTCTGCCACCTGGGACGCCGAACGGGATATCTAACGAAAGGGATCACCTTCATGCAGATGAACCATATGGCCTTCCTCTTGCAGCTATGTATGATTACCCCCTTCAGGTTGTTATCGGCCATCAGCTTCTCCACACGCTCCGCCATTTCCACTGTATAAGCATTCCTCGAGCAGCTGATAAGGACAGAGGCCAGGAGAGTCGAGCTCGCCGTAGACACTCTGCTACGAACAGCACTGAAGTTCGTCTCCAGCCAATCCCAGGCAAGGTCAGCGCCGTCCTTCGAGGAGAGCCTAACGCTCGCCATTGGGAAGAAGAAATCCTGGGTCTTCACCGATGGCGTCAGACTCCACTGTAAAACCTTCCGCTTCAGTGCTTTGCTGCGGACGAATCTACAAGGAGAGAGGCCATATTCGAGGAGGACTGGGCGAAGGCGTCTCACCCTATCGCGTGGTATATGTCGACACGTTCAGTCTGTGGTGTAGCGGGATCTTCAGCCTTACTTACGAGCTGCCTCCAGAGCTCATCGCTACTCTCCCCACCAGCTAGGGCCAACTTGAACACCGATGCCCGAACATCATCAGCTAGGCTTGTGTGGTCATCAAGGTAATCTAGAGTCATCTCGACACAGGAGGCAGCAAGGCCTGCATCCGACTGGCAGTGGATGGCTGCTAGAGAGGTCACAGCTGCTCTAAGTTGGCGGTCCTTTGCCGTATCAGTGTTCTTGAGGCGCCAACCGCACTTAGTTAGGAGTGGTTCAATCATACAGTGGACGAGCTGCTCGAAGGGCTCTTCCTTGCCGATACCGACACAGACTAGATGAAGAGCTCCTATGACTCTCACAAGGGCATCCCAGACATCGGGGTCGACCTCCTCTCTGTA